ATCAGTGAAGATCAACCAATAAAACACAAAGTTGTACAGAGCTCCAGAGAAGGGATAACAAAACAACCTTTCAGAAGTTGCCTCATCTTCGGCGGATGCAGGAGCCATCCACAAGTTAACGGTTGAGTCAGTGCCAGCACTCTGCAGATGTAAAATTCTTGTAGAGAAAGAATTTTCGAAATATACCGACAAACAACAATTTTCAATTTATTTTATTGTGTCTTAAATCTAAGGATATTTCTAAGCCTAGTTTTTTTTTATAAGAATTTCTAAGCCTAGTTGATTCATATGAATATTCATAACCAGTTTAATTCAACCGAAACCCTACTACCTATACCTAAGAGACAATCTAGTTAAAATGAACGTTCAGGGAGGGAGAGAGAACCAGAATTAGCCCATCATACTCAGGGTTACAGGTGACAGTCCATGTCCTGCAAACATTATTAAATATGTTACAATTAATGAACTTAAATACTCCCATTTCTTTCTAGTGGCACATGACCAGCTCAACATAAACTCAAATGTTTGAGATTAATTATAAATCAAGCATATGTGAAAATATAAAGAGTGAAGTTACTCAAATAAGAAAAACAACAGTACAGGTCAATTACCAGTGCGTATGTCCAGGAAGCTCTTTAACAGGAATTTTGGGTTTTCTAATATCCCATATGTGTATCCCAGATTCATCTTCTGCAGTGACCTGTAATAAAAGTGACAATAATAACTTAGAAGTATTAAACAGCAGAAATACCATCTCACTTAAATAGGTTCATTCACAAATCACATCACAATCACCATTTCTATATTGTTGACCATTCTTTTACTGATTTCAGCAACTATTATTTACAAATTACAAGTGAGTGTCTCTTATGATTGACAAAATGCAAAGGATCAACTCATCCCATCAATTCCTACATACCAGTGAAAAAATTATATAGAGTGGTCCAAAATAGATAAACTTCCTTTTAGAAAATGTGATGAACATTTGCACTGTAGGTTTATCTTTGTGTATAAAATTGAGATAAAACTTCAAACTCTTCTAGTTGTGTATGATTAAACAAGATTAGTAAGTGTACATGTGTGCAGAGCAGATTTTCGACAGGCATTAAATGCTTGGCCACAGCTTTGACCAAAAAGAAAGTAGAGTTTAATATACCAGTTAATCCTCCCAATTTCATCTTGCAAAAGAAAAATAACTCCCAATTTCTCATCCTCACCACATCACATTGACAATCGTAATTTATAATATCGGTCTACACATATATTACCTAGGCATAACAAGTGAAAGATCTTGGCTTCACATAGTTATAGAAATAACAAAATTTTGTTTGACAGAAAAAGCAATTTAACATGCCAACTCATACCCCTCGAAAGGCATTCTAAAAACCGAAGTTGCAATAGAAACAACCAAAAGGCCAATACAAAAGCAATAATGCAAATGACCAGTAAAAGATAGTTTTAAATAGTAAAATATGCAAGCTGAATTCTTACAAGTATATGATTGTTCTTCATATCATAGTTAGCATTGCGGATATGGGCACGCTCAATTGCATTTGTCTTCCTGTGATTATATAAAATTGTTGTCAGATACCGCATAACTCTAAGTGCAATCAACAAACTATATCCAGGTAAACATTTTAAGAAAACTGATCTGCAAAGAAACTAAATAGTTAAAGGTACAAGCAAAAACATACTCCTCCCCTGCCCTCTTTTCTTCGGTTAGAGGAAGGCAGGTGATGAAATAGCATCTATTTCAATCTTTGGCCCATGCATTTAGAAAAATGAATCAAATCACGAGGGACATAGAACACCAAATTAAATGACCAACACATAATAATTAAACAGTTCAGACCTAATCAAGAAACAAAGATACACATAAACAACATACTTCATTGTACGTAGATCCCAAAACTGGACTGATGATTCACAAGTTGTCGCAACAGCATTTATGTCATGTGGATCCCATGCACCGCCAGATAAGTAATGAAGCATACCAGATGACTGCTTAGATTGCACCTAGATTTCCACAATAAGATCTGAATAAGGATCAACTACTGTATAAGCAATCTATGTTATATCTTCACCAAATTTAAGGGTCAGATATGTGGACTCCGCTTCAGATATCCGACACTAAATCTAAGGGCCATACACATCATTTGCTAAAAATATCATCAACCGCTTTAACTGATGTTGTATTTTCACCAAATTTCACTCATAATTTCTCCATCTCCTATTTTCGTTTTTACACTTGCTCGTCCTCCTCACAGCTTTGAGAGTTGAGTCCACAAAACATCCCTCGCCACCAAAAATCACCTCTGTGAAGTTGGCTTCTGTGTTGAAATACACAGCAATGAGTCTGACACATATTGTGTCGGCTCGTATGGCTCCCTAAAGTGCTGATTCCATGTAACATAGGTATGCATTTAGATATTTTAGATTTACGATAACTTCCACTGATATATATTCAATGTCTCTGCCAGGTTAGATGAATGCAAAGTTTCAAATTGCAACAAAATTTAATATCAGACACTGAAGCTATATCAAATATATTCAGATACAGAAAATAAAAAAAAAAAGGAAAAAAAGAAAAAGAAACAGAGAGTGAGTAAACAATGCAACCGATACAAATTTATGTCAGTTGTGTCTTTGAAGAAGGTATTTCAGTTTTTATTTACAATCACAAATGTAAAATAAAAACTAGAGGTAGCATATTTGCATGCTAGTACAATGATTATAGACAATAAGAAGACAATCGATGCAGAACCTAACCTTGGCAGCCTTTTTTGAACAATCTAAAGTCCACAAGAAAAGATTTTCATCATCAATGCTGATCAACTTATCATGTCTTCCAGATGGCCACCAGAGAACACTGTTAATAAGTAAGCCAAAATAAATTTCAAAAAAATTGTCCAGAGCAAAATGCAAAAAATATACAACTTTAATAACTTAGGGGAAGCTTTGAAACAGGAACTCACCAATTAATCTTACCAACATGTTCATCAAGGGAGGCAATTCGTTCCAACTGTGGTGAATTTAACTGTCCATATAACTCGGGGATTTGCCATATTGCAGCCCCATAAGATTCACCTTCAACAACAAAGAAAATTATCAAACCAGACTCATCTTTAAGCCATAAAGCTTACTTTTATACAGGAAACTGCTGTTGCAACAGCTAATTCAACTCTAGTAAAACTAATCATACAGAAAGGAACAATTAATGTGTTCTTCAAATGGCCTAAATAGGGATCTATTTGGCTTTTCTATCTCTTAGCCATAAAGTCACAAAAAAATGAATTACTGGTAATGGAGACAAGCAAGGTGGACTAAACTGTTCAAAGGTTACGAAGATGAAGTCCACCAAAATACAGGTAAATCAACGTCAAAGAAACTACCGTTGGAAAAAACAGTGGAGAAAATCCGTTGATCGAAGGGGCAGGAAGCTAGATCCCAGATCTCGTTAGGGTGAGAAAACAAGCCCTCGCATATGAGCTCCGTCCCACCAGAAGATATCCGAATCAGATGCACCTGCGCAGATTTCAGCTCAATTCAACTAATATGACGATTGAAAATTAAAATCATGAGATTAAATCAAATTAGAATATAATTCACAAACAAAAACTAACCTCATTTTCTTCTCTAAGACTAAGGGTTCCTGTAATGAAGCTGGTATGATCCGTATCTGCTTTAACATCCGAAATGCATCTTGACTGCGAGCTTCAAATGTATTAAAATCTCTAGATTTTGAGAGGCCGGGTAAAAATTATAAATTTGAGATTTTGAGTGCCAACCTGATATTTGAGACCATAACCTATGCCAGAATATCCTCCTTGCATAGTTGCAGCACCAGAACTCCAAGACTTGACCTTTTTTTTAATTGAAACAAACCGATGAAATGAAACCATTAGTTTTCAATCTTGATATATGAATGGATGTAATGGTATAGGCATTCCTTCCCTATTCAATGCTTCATATCTTTTTATTCAGATTTTTTCAGTTCAATCTCAAAATCAGATTTATAAAAATATCTACATAATATAAATATTTATAATTATTTTTCAATATTAATTATTATTTTACTAAGTGAACTTTTGTTTTAATACATAATACAATGATTTAATTATATTTATATAAAAAAATATTTGTTTCGATTAGTAAAAAATTAAGGGTAAAATATAAGTTTAGTACCTAAACTATCAACTTTGGTCAGTTTTAGTATCTAAAGTTTTAACTTTTTTCAAAACAATACCTAAAGTTTAGTTTTTGTTTCATTTTCAGTACTCATGTTCAAAATTTAACCTGAATTTTTTTTATAAAAAAAATAGGTATTAAAACGGACCAAAATTGATGGTTTATGTACTAAACGCGTTAAGTTTTTAACATTGTGGAATCAAAATGAAAAAAAAAACTAAACATTAAGTATGATTTTTTTAAAAAAATTGAAAGTTCATGTATTAAAACGAACCAAAACTAATAGTTTAAGTATTAAATGTGTAATTTACCAAAAAATTAAAGGTCTATTTTCAGCCGATAATATGAAAAGATATCGGCGAAATAATCAGTATATATTATATATTTTGAATTCTAAACATCTACAATCGTTTTAAAAACGATAATTCTATCATTTGGGAAACCGTAAATCATGTGTATTTGAGATTTGTCGCAAATCAACTTTAGGGATACATCAACATGCAAAAATGTTGCAATGACTCACAACACTGATTTCTTTCCTCTGTTATCTTTTAAACTACAGTCAAATGGAAGCAAATTACAAAGTTGGGCGAACATTGTCCGCACCATTCCCGCTTGGATTAGTATTCCGATGTAATCTCTTTCTAGCCATGCAAGCATCTCAAAGGTAGTGAGGAAAATAGCATGCTTGAACTCAACTGCCAACAGTTTAACTAGAACACCCAACTGTCCATCTCAAATCGCTGGACTTGCCATGATTCAGACTTTGGAGGTCACCATATCAAATCAAACTCGTTCGTCAGCTTCTTTTGAACAAATTCAAAGTCATGCAGTTCTACATAGATAATGGAAGCATCATCCTTCTTTTCTTGTTATTGGCCAATCTCACTTGTTTTGTGATTTTTATGCAGAGGAACAGTAGCATTGCGATTCCTGCTAGGATAAAGGCAAGGTGCATGTGCCTAAAATATAAAGAAACGGACGAACAAACCAGAAAGGCTAAAATGACGAGTTCCCATATAACGAAGGACACATCCACCCTGCACCCAAAACAAAAGAGTAAAGAAAACCCCAACTATTAGAATTTGTCTTGTTTTGAGATAGAAAGGAGCAAATAGCACAATGATGACCTAATGAATGGATCCCAATCATAACCTTAAAGACATGTCAAAACTTCTTGGAATTAGGACAAAAGTACAAACATATCAAGGCCATGGATATTTTCCATGAACAAGTAAAACAAACATCTTAAACGTACACGTATTGTAAGTTTAACATGCACAAAGACTCCTATCCTGAGCCCACATAATTTGAGAGAATCCAGACAGTGGCATAATGCACCAATTGCCAGCAGATTGGCAAGCAATTGGTGCATTATGCTCTTATAGATAGTCATGGAAGATTGGAAGAAACTCGAGACACACACACGTACGATACGCAATCATAATAGCTGAGTGAATGACAAGAACTAAGCATTTACATACACTAATGCCATCATACAGCTTGTTTACAGAATCAAAATCCCAGCTCTGTCATTTGAAAAATATAAATTAAAGAAATAAAAGTACAAAAACAAAGGTTAGCGAGATAATAGCAGTACAGTATTAACAGTTTAATTTAAATAGGTGTGCAGTATTAATCTAAAGAGAAAATAACTTCAGCGACCGAAAATGCCTTATAATATACGATTTTAACCAACTTTTTTTTTATTTGCAAAAATGACCAACAAATTCACAACGCGATCTCGAATTTCGCAACTCTTCCAAATTCGCAACGTGAATCTGTAAATCACGTTACGATTTTCTAAATTCGCAACACTGAATTTCAAATTCGCAACTCGATTTCTGAATTCGCAACGTGAATTTTGTTTTCGCAACTCGATTTTCGAATTCACAACACGAAATTTAATTTCGCAATAGGTTTTAGTTTCGCAACACAAATGTTTTGGGTATATAACTACGCAGCAGAAGAAACTCATAACCTAAATCCCTAAATCGCAACTCATTCCATCTCCATCTATCACTCTTTCCGGCGACATCCGTTCCTATATCCAGCGACATCCTTCCCCATCTCTAATTTTTTTTATATAATTTTATTTCATATAATTTTTCAATGATTCTCTCCCAAATTATCAACTATCAACTTAATAAAGGTATGTTTTCTCTAAGTTAGTGATGATATGTAGTTTATAGCTCGTTTGTTTAGTAAATTAATTTACAATTTGTAGAATGAAATCATCTAATATTGATCATGTTTGGATAGATTTGTGTTTTGGAGGGTCATGGGAGAATGTTCATGGTGTTTTACAATATATGCATTTACCCATGAATCTTCAACTAAAAATGTCATCAAAAAAGTTAACTTATGAAACTCTAATGTTACGTGTTGCAAAGAAATTGAATTTAGAGCCTCTAAGTGGATTTAGGCTATCTTATCAGAGAAAAGATAAAGTTTATTTGTTAACCGACAATAAAGATGTTGAACGATTCATTGCTTACATTAGTGTTTAGCAAGAAGATGATGTTACATTGTATGTTGTTGAACCTAGAAGTAGTGAAGTTAGGTCAGTAGCGGATAGTAATCAACTAAGTTCTTCAACCCCAGTTTATGGTGCTCACAATGTACAACGTTGTATGAACCCTCAAATTTAATGGTTCCACCACAATTTCATCACCAGAAAATTTTGTTTCACACATTTCCAATACCAAACACAATATCAAACACAATCTCAAAACCCACAACCTTTTCCTAATCCAAATCCCAATCAACTTTCAGCACCAAATTCCGATTTTCGTATTGACCAGTTAGACGATTATGAGCCAATAGAAAAAATTGTGAGTACTAGTCAGTATTCGAAATTTGATCTTGGTCAATACCCGGACTTTGATCTTGGTCAAAACTCGGATTTTGATGATGTTTCAGAAGAAGAAATAGACCCTACGTGTAATGATTTTGATATTGGTCAATACCCAATTTTGATGATGAAACAGTCGTTGCCGAGGAAGATGTTGTTGATAATAATGAGAGGAAGTTACGACTGTGAATGAACATGTTGAACATCCATTTTGTAATCATATAACCCTGAAGAAGAAGAAAAGAAGAAAAGAAGTCCACGAAGAAAATAGAGCCAATAGAAAAAATTGTGAGTACTAGTCAGTATTCGAAATTTGATCTTGGTCAATACCCGGACTTTGATCTTGGTCAAAACTCGGATTTTGATGATGTTTCAGAAGAAGAAATAGACCCTACGTGTAATGATTTTGATATTGGTCAATACCCGAATTTTGATGATGAAACAGTCGTTGCCGAGGAAGATGTTGTTGATAATAATGAGAGGAAGTTACGACTGTGAATGAACATGTTGAACATCCATTTTGTAATTCATATAACCCTGAAGAAGAAGAAGAAGAAGAAGAAGAAGTCCACGAAGAAAAGAAAAAGAAGAAAATGTCACGGGAGTATAACTGGAATATGCCAGAATTACTTCAGATACCGGAAGAAGAGTTGGTAAAGATAGCAGTTGATTGTTACACAAAAGTTATTCATATCAAGAAAGATGATTGTTTTTGATACAAAGGAAGACTTGAAGATAACTTTGTATACGAAATGTGTGGAAGATGGCTATCAACTAAAAGTTAACAAATCAAGCAAAGATCGTTTTGAAACAAAGTGTATGATTGACAAAAACTGTACGCGACGTATGATTGCAAAGAGGATAAAAGATTGCGAAATGTTTCAAGTTAGGACTTTTATCGATAAACATACATGTTCAAGAACCCAAGTTTTTCCTCACCATAGACAGGCAAACAAAAAGGTGTTGGGTGGTTTTCTGGCTGAGTTAATGTTTTTGAATGGCATGGTATATCGGGGACATGAAATTATGACTGACATGAATGCTCGGTTCAAGATTAGTATCTCATATTCTCAAGCTTGGAGAGCCAAATGTTATGCCTTGGAATTGTTGAGGGGGTCTCCAGAAGCATCGTTTGCCCAACTGTCGGCTTATTATCACAATTTAAAGCTGAAAAATCATGGATCGGTAACTCATATCAAAACAGATAGAGATGAACGCTTTGAGTTGCTGTTTATCGCCATTGGTGTTGCGGTTAGTAAATCAATATTATTTTTTTGACTCATTTTTGTTAGTTACATGCATTTCACATTTAAATGATTATGTCTTGTGTATATTATTTTGTAGATTCGTTCGTTTATTACTTGCATGCGCCCAGTTATTATAGTTGACGGAGCACATTTGAAAGGTCGATACCTTGGAGTAAACTTATTAGCAGTAGCCATGGATGCTAACAATGGGATACTGCCAATAGCTTACAGGGTTGGCAAATCTGAAATATCTGATTCATGGACATGGTTTATGGGGCATCTTAGGGATTGTATATGTCCTATTAGCAATATGAAAATCATATCCGATAGGGCAAACTCAATTGAAAATGTTGTTAGAAGGTGTTTCCCAGATGCTTTTCATGGACTTTGTGGTGTTCATTTGTACAGAAATCTAAAATCAAGGTCTGGTGGTATAAAAAATCACAAATAGACATACTGGAAGGCTATAAAAGCTTATCGGGAAGTGGATTTTAATAAGCATATAAATTGTTTAAGACGTGTTTTGCCTCAATGTGCTCAAACACTAGAAGATGTCGGGTTTGAAATTAAGATGGTCAAGAGTACATCAACTTGGAGCAATATATGGTTTCATGACGTCTAATAGTGCAGAATCAATCAACGCTCTAAGTCGTCATTCCTGGAAATTACCCATTACTATGTTAATGGAGTTTTTTCGAGCCTCTATTCAACAGTGGTACTACAAGAAAAGAAAGCATGCAGGTATAATTTCTTTAAAATTCGTAACTTATCATATATTTTACTAAGTATTATTTATTTAAATTTACAGGAACATTGGAACATCATGTTACACTATGGACTGAAAAAAAGATAACGAAACGTGTTGTGAAGTCAACGTCATGGAGAGTTGAACCATGTTCAAACACTTTGTTTGAAGTATTGGATAATAACTTAAATGGGCTTGTCGATCTAAACGCAAAGACGTGTAGTTGTATGAAATGGAAAACATCTGGTTATCCATGTGACCATGTTATAAAAGTTGCTCTTCATCTAAACCAAGATGATTCAAGCTCATATGCTATGGATTGCTACACTACAGAAGTATATCGACAGACTTATGCCGAAATTATCTACCCTATTCCACATCCTTCTGAGTGGGACATACCAGATGACTTACAAATAGTTTTGCCACCAGTCATGGACAGCAGGCTACCTGGCCGACAAAAAAATCATGATAGTATACCGTCTAAGGGTGAAGAGAAGAGGTTATCGACATGTAGTCGATGCAAGGAAAGTGGTCATACAAGGTTGACCTGTGGATCACCAGTGCCATCACAATCATCTTTTCCTCTACCAAAATATGGATCCTCATCAAAATCCAAAACTCATATGGTGCCAAGCAAAAGGAAATCAAAATCCCAATCACAACCGTCTTTACCTTTTGGGACTTATTAACTTAGGTGATTTTTAAATGCAAACGTTGTATTATGTGTATTTTATGTGTGAATGCATACATTTCAGTTAGACATTCATTAGTAACTTGAGTTTGAACATTGCTATAATATGTTTAGTTGTTATGACTTATCAGATTTTTTGTTGCGAAAGTCAAATTCGAAACGCGAAAATCGCAACGCGAATTTGACTTTCGCGTTGCGAATTTGACTATCGCAACGCGAATTTGACTTTCGCAACCATCGCAACGCAAATTTGACTTTCGCGTTGCGAATTTAACTTTCACAACGCGAAAGTGTACCTTCAACATGTCTTTTTTTGCCTTCAACATAATGCAGATTGAAATTTAAAACAACAAATCAACTTTTACAAATCAATTAAAAAAGCAAAAAAGAAGAATTATTTACACATCAATTAAACAAATCAACTTTTACAAATCAATTAAACAAGCAAAAAATAATTCTTATTTCCACATCAATTAAACAAATCAACTTTTACAAATACATCA